ACTACTTTAACTACAATTATTTCTTTTGTTACTTAATAATAATAAAAGTTTCTTTTCTCTCTTTTTTTTTTTTTACATGGAGTGAGATGGTTGTTGAATGCCACTCACCATATTTGCTTTACCTATCCTCCCATCACCTCTACTGTGTCATTGCCAGGAAGTGAATAGTATACAAAATGCTTCTTGAAATATGCTGCTGACAAGTATAGAAGAATGATAGAAATAATTGCCTTTGAAAATGTAACAAGTCCTCAGAGTAGTCATGTTTATTAAGTATGGTTGGGAACTTGAATTTATCTAAGTAAAAAAATATAAAATTGTGAAAAACCAATCATAGTGTCGTGATCATTATCATCATCATCATCATCATCATCATCATCTTTGGTTCCCTCAAGGCATATTTCCAATAATCTTCCCCAAACTGAACTAAAACCTCCACAATGAAGATCATAAGGAGTGTTAAAACTCATAAAGTGTTATCTAAACCTCAAAGAAATTCCTGCCTTACCCATGGTTAGTGAGAAGTGAACCAGGCATCGTGACATCTATATCTAGGCCCTGAGTCTAAGAATGGTTTTTATACATTTCAGACTGAAATACATATCTTTTCTACTTACTTGTATGCTACTTGGTAGACTATCTAAACTTGGTAATGGCCCTGTGCTTTCTGCACTTGTCTCTTTAGCTTTGATGAGTCATTAAGCTCACTTAATTTTGCAGCCATTTTCTTGCAATGCCATTTTTTTATTAGCACATAATTATTTTATTCTCTACAGTAGGAAAATTCTAGGTTTTTCTATAGTCCGGCTTATTCTATTTTACAAATTCTATCAACATTAGCCTTCCTTTTTTAAAAAATTTGAAAAGTACCATAAAACACAGAAACACAAAAATCACTCAGACTCCATTTAAAATAGTTATATATTGTAAAAAAAAGAAAGTCTATCTTTCCCTATGGCTCATTGTATTCCCTCCCTTCCTGCCCAGGTGGCTTCTGGAAACAATTATTTATGTATATTTTTCAATTCTTTCTTAAGCTCATACAAATATTTCTCTATTGAGGTATAATGTGTTAATTTTTTTTTTTTTTTG